CTGTTTTCCCCGTGCCCGCAGTCGTGTCGAAGGAGCAGCGGCTGCAGGCGGTACAGGCGGCTGTGATCCTCATGCCGGACGAGAACCGGGAGGTGCTGCAGACCCTGCTCTACTTCCTCAGCGACATCGCTTCCGCTGAGGAGAACCAGATGACTGCCGGCAACCTGGCTGTGTGCCTGGCCCCCTCCCTCTTCCACCTCAACGTGTCCAAGAAGGAGAGCACCTCGCCCAGGTAAGGGTCCCCAGCCTCCCTGCAGCCCCTTCCCCATTGCCCCGTCCTTGTCTGTCCTGGGAGGAGACAACCAGAGTGGGGCCAGCGTGGTGGGAACAGCCCCCCCATCACTCTGCTTTGCGATGTGGGGGTCCCCTACTCTGTGACCCCCTGGGTCCCAGCGATGCTTGCTCACCTGCAGGGTGATCCACAAGCGGGGCACCATGGGGAAGCCCGACCAGAAGGACCTCAACGAGAACATGGCCGCGACGCAGGGGCTCTCCCACATGATCACCGACTGCAAGAAGCTCTTCCAGGTGGGTGGCTGCAGCGTGGCCAGCCTGGCGATGCTGGGGTAGGATGAAGAAGGGCGCCCATCCTTCAGCGGGCAGGTGCCCTGGGAGCAAAGCCCAGTGCATCTCGTGGTGGGGTGGGTCACAAGCTGCAGGACATGTGTCTGGGGTGGGGGGGTGTGTCCATTCTTCCCCCTCCTCTGTGGGATGGGAATTGTGGTTTTCCTGGCTACCCAGGCCCATCACAAAGTCCACGCAGGATTCCTCTGTCTCTCTGAAGATCTGTGTGCTCTTGGGTTGCAGGTCTCCCACGACATCCTGCTCCAGTTGAGCAGCTCCTACATGGCAGCAGATGCCTACCCCCATCCCCTGGCTGACATTGTGCGTCAGGGGGAAAGCAAGGATTTGCACTCCTACTTTGAGCAGAGTGTCCAGAACCTGCTCAAAGAGTCGTCGGAGAAATTCAAGGGGTGGCTGAGCACATCAGGGCCCCTGAACACAGAGCTCTCCTGCAAAAAGGTAAATGTCACTGTGTGGAGAGGGGCTTGGGGGGGTCACGTGGGGAAATGCGACCACTGGGTGCCACTGCAGGCACCTGCTAGCATCCTTGGCGTGTGTTCCCTTCAGTGAGGAGGGATCAGCAACCCCTTCCCCAGGCAGACCAGGTGCTGAGACATGGACAGCTCTGGGATGGAGGATGCTCTGTGCCCAGTCCTGCCAGAGAGCCTTGTTAGCAGAGGAGCTGGCTGCCTGTGCCTGTCCCACCTCATCCCATCCCCTCCCATCCTGCAGATGTGCCGGTGCTGCTCCGTGGTGGTGGGAGCCATCAGTAAAACCGCTCAGGTTGGGGGTTTAGCACTGGGGGGTGGTCCCCTGGGACAGCCTGCTGACCCTTCCCTCCGCCCATCAGGTTGGGGATGGGAACCCTCTGCGCTTGTGGAAGGTCTCCACAGACATGGAGGCACCTCCCAGCGCGGTGCTGCACCGGGTGCTTCGGGAGCGTCACCTGTGGGATGAGGACCTGCTGCAGAGCAGAGTGCTGGAGGCGCTGGACAAGAACATGGAGGTGTACCACTTCGTGACGGACCGCATGGCCCCCCACCCACGGAGGGACTGCGTGGTGCTCCGGTGAGGACAGGGGGATGCCCAGGCAGGGGGTTTGCTCTTGGGGTGCTAGATCCCTGGCTGTGCAGCCCCCGGGGTTGGGGTGGGCACAGGGGGATGGGAGCTGAGCCGCTGTCCCCAACAGGCGCTGGCGCACAGACCTGCCGCGGGGAGCAGACCCTGCCTGCTCATCTCCATCTCGGTGGAGCACGACAAGCTGCCGGCCGAGGGAGGTGTCAAAGCTGTTGTGCTGACATCCCAGTACCTCATTGAGCCTGGCACCATGGGACGCTCCCGGGTCACCCACATCTGCAGAGCCGACCTCAGGTGAGGACAGCCCTTGGTGATGATGCTTCGGCGGCTGCATCTGCAGCTCCACCTGCAGCTCTATCCATCCCGCAGTGCAGTGCCTGCCCCAAGGGAAGGGGGTGCTGGTCTGGGGCCAGGTTTTAGCTCCCAGATAGTTACTGGGAGAGGAGCCACCAGCCCAGTCCTGCAGCACTGGGGGATCCTGCAGTGGCTCTGAGTGCAGCAGCAAGTCCCTTAGAGCTTCTGCAGGAAATATGGGGTCCACCGTGGGTCTCAAGCATGGCCTTGGCACTCCTCACCACCAGATTTTCCCCATTTTTGTCTGTGGTGGGGAGGGGGGAGGCAGTGTCCCTTTTCTGTCGTGTAGTTCTTGTTCGGCATCTCATCGTCCATCGCAGCTGGGACTGGGCTGAGTACCCGTCCCCAAGTAAGAAGCAACATGCCCCTCCCTGGTGCCTGCCGGGGTTCCCCTCTGCCCGCTCACCCCCTCCTGCCTCCTTCCTTGCAGGGGCCGCTCTCCCGAGTGGTATAACAAGGTCTTCGGGCACCTCTGTGCCATGGAGCTGGTGAGGATCCGAGAATCCTTCCCCACCCTGAGTCCCAGCGGCCCTGAGACGAAGATCTGAGGCGCAAGGAGGATGCTCTGATGGGTCTGATGTGGACTTGCCGGTGGATCTGGGCAGGGGCTCTCACAGGGGGGCAGCTGGCCGCAGAGGGGGAGGTAGAGGCTGGCGTGCTCGCGGGCACACATTTATAGGCGTCCTTTTACCCTGGGCTGGGCATTCCCCATCCCACCATCCCAACTGGTGCTTCGGCCGCCCCTTGCTCAAGTGCAGCAGCTTGTGCAGCCCGCGGTCGGGGTTGGTGAGCAGCAGGAAAGAGGGGGGCTGTGGGGGTGACCCCTGGATGCAACCAGTGCAGGCTGAGCTGGGTCCCCCTGTGCCAGCCGCAGGGATGAAGGCACACGGCTGTGACGGGAGAGGACCGTGCCACATCTGCAGGTTGCAGTGTGATGTGGGGAAGTGAAGGGTGGGGGCAGCGAGGGGTGGGCCGTGTCACCAGATAGGGACAGACAGGAGTTGCTGAGAACCTGTTTGGGGGTG